GTACATACACATTTTGTTGGCGATGTCTGTCGCAAATAAAACTACATTGTTAATGGGCATGAGATAAGTAAAATGGGGCATGTTATATGGTTATTACAGACGATGGATGTAACTGTGTACTATTATGTATATTCACTTGTGCCATTGTACTCGAACTCCTCAAAAACGGCTAAACCGATTTTAATGAAATGATTGATAGGCTCAAAGGTGTAATGTGCGCAATGTATGCCTAATAACGGAGTGGTGGGCTCATTTCTGTAACATGTGTGTAACTTCGTCTGAATATCAGGATATTAATGGACCCGTTGGTATTCGAACCCACGACCAGCTTTTAACCGTGACAAGCATTTTTGGAATCCGAATTCACTTGTTTTTGTACGCGTTTGTGCGACTACCGCCATTTCTCTAATATATGCTTACATACCGGGACAGTTTTGGCCGCACGGACCGATTACACCTTGTTATCTTCGCCTGGGTGAATTAAGGACAAGAGGGTTGGAGGGTTATTTATATGTAAAGAAGTACCTGTAGGGTAATAAGGGTAGATCTTTACATAATCCTTTCTAACTGAACAATACTTTTGGGTTGGACATTCTTGAATAATTTTCTATGCCAATAAAAATGTAATTTATATGTGCGAATTGTACGGCTTTCATTGAACTTTTTGTCTTTGACGTGTACATTAAATATATATCAAGAGTAGGGCTCCATGATTGATATAAAAAAAAATATTTTTGACAAATGCCGGTTTTTGGGAAAATATGCCAAAATCAATCTAGAACCCACTGTGTGTATAGTATACTAGAACCCACTGTGTGTAGAACTAGAACCCATTGTCTGTAGTTTTCGTGAGTAGTACACATGTAAATAAAACACTTTAACGGATTAAAACGCAAAATGTATTATTGAATTATAACCAAAGTGTGAAAAACTGTTATTCATCCAAACTGTTAGTTTCATTTATTTTTATATTTAGTTTTTACGTTAAAGATACTTACATATTGTTTTGCACTTCTCACAAGAGATATACATCAATAAGTCAATGTTATAGCTTAACTGTGCTGCAACTTACGCAAGACCCTTTTGGCATCACTTTCTTTAAATGAGATTTAATCTTTATGTATTCTTTTATTGTAATCACATTTATTCTTTTCCAGCATACTAAATGAATGCCAAATAAAGATATTTATTATTATTAAATATATGCAACACAAATTTTACACTCCTTGTGAGCGGCGTTCCGCTTTTCAGTTTGCTTAAACATATTTTAAAACGTTATTTATGTGTCAGACGAGCTCAAAACGATTTATTTATAACTTCTTGTTGTTTCATGATGCATACAGACGTCAATAGGGCTTCTTTAAAGCGTCGATTGTCACACCCAGACAAAAATAGCACTCTTGTATGGAAATGTATGTCTTACCAAAAAAAAAACAAAACGTTACTTTATACTTGCAAGCTATTTAATACGCAAAATCAGGCAGTTTTTAAAGTATAACTGTAGTGGCATATTTAAATAAAACAATTTTAACGGATTAATTCGCGAAATATATAACCTTATTACTAATTAACTATCAATCCAGTTTTAGCATTGAATTGAGTTCACTTTCTATAGCGTATTATATTTTTTACGGGGGCCTTACGGAGTATGGGTTTTATCCCCTCCACAATTTTTCTAAAACATCAAGGACTTTGAAACCTCGATTTGAAATGGGTGGTAGAAATATCGCGTCCGGGTCATGAAGCACCGTCCACAGATGAAAAAGCCGTGAAGTTTAATCACGTTTCGCTTTCAGTCTGTGGATTTCCGACTATCCAACGCCAAAATAGTTCCACGTCGCATCTTGTTGAGGTGTTATAGGATAGGATATTTTACCTACCATCAAGCGAACACCATGCTCCTCTTTCTTCCTCTGTCATTAAAAAAAGCTTTTCACATCAAAAGTTGCAGTAGTAATCCAGTAGAATATTGAAGCCATCGTAATTAGGTAAAATGCACGGTAGCCCCAAGCCCCACAACAGGGGATACGGGACATTTTAAATTCTTGCGTTTGTCGCTAGTGCAAAATTCCGTGTGGCCGAAATGTGAAACTGTCGGTCGGATTACGGACAGCTGACCATCGCTAATCGTATTTCATCTTGTTTATTTTAGTTCAAATCCACCGCAAACGTTGTATCGGATTAATCGTGTCTGAATTAATCGGCATTAAGCTTCGGTGTTAGGCTATGTGAGGCTAGAGGCAGAGTAGCTTAACTGCAATTTTATGACTGTGAAAAATGTTAAACTACAAGACACACACAGGGACCGAAAATTGTTAACATAATTCTTACACAAATAATAGTATAAATTCATTTTCACCTAAGTTAATTGCATTTTTTTATTTTGCTCCTTATTGGAAATAATGTTTTTTGTTATTAGGCCACTCTGCCTGTAGCAGCCTCATTTGACCTGATTTTAAAAGATATTTCTTCGTGGATTTGACGGGCTCGTTGGTGGCTAGTAAACGGGTCGTGGGGTGTTATCCCTATTGGATTTAATATGCTGCGAATCAAGTTGTAATTTTTTTTTTTCGTTTTTTTTTCCGAAACATATTTGACTTTGTTTGAAAATCAGGGTGTTAAATGGATGGTAGGAATATCGAAATACCATCGGGTTCGCGAATCAACGTCCACATGTGAAAAAATCGTACAGGGACTGACAAGCATAATCAAAATGCACTGTCGACCCATTTTGGCTTTGGATATTCGGAAATCTACAGCACTATTATTATTAGCACTAGTAATCTCACTTTTAAACGGTTTAAACTAGAATCGTAATAGTTAATACATTTCAGGCTGATTGCAATACGTATACGGGGAAAGATAAATAAACGAATATAATAAATGTTTTGAACCGTTAAAAATGTTTTATTTAATGTGAACCAGTCGCGTTAACTACGGGTACATCTAATTAGCAGTAAATATTCTTGACCGTGTCCCTCGATAGGCCGGCAATTAATAAAATGCCGGACCACTTCATTTACATATATAAATCGTAGAAACAGGAAATTATCTGAGATCAATGGAACTAGTTTTAATGAGAAGATTGTTTTTTAAACGGGCGTCCATAATTACCTGTTATTTATAACAGAACTTGTGTTGACGTGAAAAAAAACTAAATTATCAATGGCTGCGTTATGAATTGGGAGCATATAGGTTGCTATAGTAACCAGTGTTTTTTCAAACTAAGTAAAAGGGTTTTGCGAGATGAACTTATAAATTAGTTTTATTTAAACAATAAAAGAAACAAGCTTTGCCCGCGACTTCTCTCGCGTAGAGTCGTTGCTTCGGGCATCAAAATTTATTTTTGCAAATCTCGTCCTAACCTTATTAACTGTTACCCACGAACTCGTTCGAGTCCCGACGTTCTTGTAAGTTTATTTTAAAAGATAGGCATATACTGTCATGAATTTTTTGGGTATCTTGGACCGATTTCGTAACGTACACGACGTTTACCAGTTCTTTTCCCGCTGTTTCTTCGCTCCGCGATTTTGCTTGATAAATGCTCTAAGCAATACAATTATTTTTTTTAATTCGAAACGGTTATTTCGGTTTAAATCAATTAGATTATTAATGGCTGTGTGTGTGTGTGTGTGATAAATTGGGAACAAATTCGTTGTTATAGTAACCGGCGCTTTTTCAAATCATATCAGTGTACTTAAGTAAATGATTATGCCTTGTTGGTAGTATCCATAGTTTCATTTGAACATATAAAACTAGCTGTGCCTTCGACTTCGCCCGTTCGAACATGTCTGATGTTTGGTCTAATGTAATTAGTAACAAGAAATACTTTTAGCTTTCGTCGTTATAAACAAACTACCATGGCATTTTAAGACAGTCGCTCATATAATGCGATGACTGAGTTTTTAATAAATAAGTTTCGCTCTTTTACACAACATTTGATCTGTCGAAATTAGTTGTATTACTGTGAGTTCCTATATAAATCATAAGTAATTCATATCGAGTCATGTCTCTGTATACAAAACAGAAATATTTCTGTCTCTATTTCACATTTCCATGTGACAGACAAATCTTATTCCAGACCTATATACACTGAGACTGTTTCTGCAGGCCTAGGACTTCTCCAGCTTAACTATATATATATTTTTTTATTTAGAACAATGGTCACAAAATAAAAGACTTAAATCAATTACCATATTTAATAATTAAAAATTATCTTATATCTATAAACAATTTATTTAAAATAACAATATTACAGTCTTTGTTATTAATCAAACTATAATTAATATTTTACAATAAATAATTATTCAATTCAATCTGCAATCGTTAAATGCAATTAACAGTATTAGTAATATGTACAATCTTATTTTCGTATTGATATTAGAAGACCGGCCTACTCTGGAAATACCACCATGAAGATAATCTTTGAACTTTGTACTAAAATTATTTACACTTCCGCTAGTATTACAATTATTATGCGAAACAACTATTTTTGTTGCATTTTAGTTTTTCTAGAAAACATTTAATGTCTTATCGTTTCAATTGGCTAAAATGTTTTCCAGAGTACGGACAGAAACTCTCCACTCGTTGAATTGGATCGAAATCAAGATTAAACAAAAAATCTCACATTCAAAATTTAAATATCACATAGTAATCTGAAAAAAATACTGGTTCTTCATGATAGAGGATAGAAAAAAAATATTCCAAATTCAATTGATATTTAAGCGCTGTCAAAATGACATGAGTGACAGTTGACAAGCCATCAATTTCCTTTGTCGATTTCTAAGGATGTCCACAGATTGAAAAATCATCTTTTATTATGAATCCCGTCTTGTTATTATATTATATATTTTTATCATAAAACAATTTACTGGAAAAAGAACACATATCACTCTACGAGTAATAGACAATAGGTTTTTATCATATAGCTCGTAAATATAATTCCGCGGTAACACAAAAACTCACATTATAATTAAAATCGCACACATAAGTCACTGCTTTCATCGCTGTGTGTGTGTAGTATTCGCTGTTTCTGGTTGGTTCTGTTGTGGGCGTTCTGTAAAAGGAATGAAGGTACATAAAAAAGGTTAAGTGTATATTTAAAGCCTTGCTGCTGCAAAAAGCATTTGAAACGCCGGGTCGTAGTTGATTAGTAAATTAACTGATAAATTTCGCATTGTCTAGTTTATGCGAACAGTACACATTAAAGACTAGTTAAGTTAAATAATAATTTCGCATTTTGAACAGTTAAATGCGTTTTGTTTTAATAATAGATTTCGCGTTTAAAATAGCTAAAAGAGTGGTATTCAAATTTGTACTAGCCGCTTTACTACAAATAATAATGTATTTTTTTAAATTTAAGACTACTATACAGACAATTCCTAGACGGAAATGTCTATCCTACTTTTACTAGCATATGTATTATTATCTCCGTTACATTATTGTATTTCTTAAAAATATATAATCATTCCTCTATTGTGAAACCTGCACTGAGTTTTTACATTAAGGGAACAGACTGCGGGTTTAATTAAGAACGGATATAAACAGACAAAGTGTATCTAGAATAGCTATATACATAATCTAGATAACGCGATCAGACAATTTGATTGTAAAATATCATACCATATAATATGGTTTTAGGGTGCAAAGGGAAAGTAAATTGATAAAATATCTTAAACAATATTCAAATAAAAAGAATAAAAAATGGTTATTACTACTACTTAGTAAAATAATAAATTAATTATTAAGCTACGATGTACCGTTTAGTGTCATAAAACTATCTTTTTATAAATATTCTCTTCTGCCGCTCTGAAAAGTATTTAAAAAAAAATTACAGGTCATACTAAGTATAAGCCAGCTTTAAAGCTTATTTTGGCGCAGTGTCCCTGATATACAAATATATGTACATGCACTTTTAAAAATCCCCACTGTTCTCAAGTATTCTATACCCTAGGGCTGTCATTTCACGTTTAAAAGTAGGTCAGAGGGGTGAAAAATACAACGAGTTCTACACGTTCTATTCAATGACATTATGCAGTTAGCAGCCCTGACATGTTATTCTGGAAATTTCCAGAATTTCTCTTATTTTGCATTTGCATCGTCGTTTGCTGTTGGGAAAATTATTTCGATGTATGGAAGTATTGGAAAGCGGCTGAGGCACGATTTTAATAGGGAAATGGCAAAAATCAAATAATATATTTTGACGAGTATGTTTTGGACACTACAAAGTTAAGTAGAATCCAAGTTGAGCAGACTTCTGTACCCTGTCTGACCAAAACAATCTATTGTTTCGAACCGTTTCGAATCGTTTGATTCGAAACCGTCCCGGGTTCTTATTATTATCGTTCTTGGTTTTCCTGTTTTTTTAGGCGGGGCCACCACCCCAGGCGGGCGGACTACAAATTGTTGCACACAAAAAAACATAAGACAGCCATCTTATTATTCGTACGCAAAAATAATTTTATGAATTTACACTCAAAACCGATCGGAACGGACACAGACCTATGTTCGCCTCATGACCTATGGGTTATATTTTGGGAACATTAGCTTTATAGTCTCCAAAATACACACGTCAAATATTAAAGTCAAATTCGTAAAAATGTTTGGTTCCCATAGTAACAACTTTAATAAACTTTTTCATTTAAATAAAACACTTTAACGGTTTAAAACGCGATATATTAGTTAAACTTATTTAAAAATGATTTTTAAATAAGTTTAACTAATATATCGCGTTTTAAACCGTTAAAGTGCTTTATTTAAATGTGTACTACTCGGTAAACTATAGACAGTATTTAAACTTTTTCATTTATTTCAAATCATATCTCTCAATCAAATTCAAATTTGTCTAAAAACATTTTGTTTAATTTCAACTCACCATGTTCGTTCAAACTGCCCAAAGTTTCATTAATTTGTGCGTTGTTGAATCTCGCCGTGTTGTTTTCCGGGTTCAACTGGAGGGATGGGGAATATCGTGGATAATTCGGGACTTCAAGCCGACAAGGGTCCAGTTCCGGCATCTTCACAAGCTTCAGTGGGTTCCGTTTGATGCTACTGTAGATTGTGTGTGGCTGAGGAACCATTTGGTGCGGCGGGAGCTAGGGTTGTCCAAAATACTTTTTATTAATTTTAATTGCACACACATTCATTAAATTTTAGCTACCCCTTTTAACGATATAGGGATTGATGAAGTTTTGAACTACTAATTATACCTACTTAGGTTGACCTTCAATTAGTTTTGACGGGATCGGTGTTATAATGGTAGCAACGTATACGGTTCGGGCCGGGTCCTACATTTTTTATTCGATTTATAATCTTTCTGAGACACGTTGGACTTAGTCTTGATGGATAAATGGGTGGTAGAAATATCGATATTCCGCCCGGTTAACGAATCACCGTCCACAGTTAAAAAGCCGTCAAATTTCAGTGTATGGGTTCCCGACCAAAAAAAGTCGAGAGCGCATCTAGTTTAGATGTTATATGGCTTGGTTTTTTACCTACTATCAATTGAACTACATGCTTGTCTGTCCCCCTCTATCATAAAAACGTTAAAGTTACAAATTTAGGATACATGGACCATTTAAATATCTTTTTTTCGAAATAATGCCTTAGTTTATTTGTTCGATTAGTCAACCTTGACTCAAACTAGATTTATTACGTTACAAATGACGTATAAAAGCTTATCTAAACGTAGATGGCTAAGTTCAAACATTTTGAAAAATAAAGCCCTGTGTAGGTATTGTGCATTTAGATTCTTAGAAATAAAATTAGCAAGTTTCAGTTAAATTGTTTCACTAAGACACGAATAGAAGCAGTGAACTGTCAAAGTTCCCGTTCATTATCAAAGAAAATATTAGTTTAGGTAAGGGGCGAGTTAGTTTATAACTTTAAACTGACATAAATTTAATTATTAATGCTTGTTTAAATATAATTGCAACTTCGTTCGACCAATGAATGGTAGTTAATGAATTATTTCGTTTGGTTATAAATGTATTAAGTTTAAACTTCATGTGGTTCGTAAACCACGATATAAAACCACAACAATACTTTCAAACTAGATAAAATCTAGTTAAAAACTTTATCTGACTTGTGACCCAGAACCGTTGTCATGTTAAGTTTATTTTATGCATAACACTTGAAAAATTACTGACAAGACTGAAGACAAGCTTTTTATTCATGTTATACTTTAGTTTCAGAATATTCACAGATCGTAAAGTTATATCATAAAGTTTTACAGTAACAATAGTTTAAGAACAAGTTATATTGCAATATCACTAACTTTTCTTAGCATTTTTAATGCAAAAACAAGTTATATGTTGTAGTACTCTTTGTTTCTAAAGATTTAGACATGACAACTGATTAACGGCCGGTCCCAATATTCACCTAACCTCTAAAGAGAAGTGACAATCGTAACTGACAGTTAAAATTTTTGAAGTTTTGCGTTTCAATATTCACAGATAGATTGATATTTTAACTATTGGTTGCAACTGACTGTTGAGAGTCCACTTCTTACCATTGATAGGTTACTTCATACAAAAGAGAACTTAAGTGTTTCAATAACACTTTGACTGATAACTCTTGTTTACAATGGCGACAAACTGTTACAGATTTGGCTACCAGCCGATTTTGACGGATTACCGAATGGTTAACAGGCGTTATTAGCTTTTGAATACTTCTTGCGTTGTTTTATTTATTAAACGTAAAAAAAATGGAATTGTTTAGTGATGAATATGATGCTGAAATATTTTATTGTTTATACGGAACGTCTGAGACGGAAAGGCTATGACAACCTCTCTATCTACTTTTAATCTTTCTAAACGCCGGTTAAAGCTACTTTAACTTGAACTGCTTACCAGGGATGGCTATCCATCATTGACTGAGAGTACGTTTTTGGAACCGGCCATTGGTAAAGATCGAATAGACAGTGAGATACAGTAGAGAAAGATTTCAACCTTTGAAGAGAACAAAGAAAATTGAAACTGGCCTGAATGGAAAATTGTTGTCTTAATCTATATGAAGATGCAAAAAGTATCTAAACATGAAGCATACAAATATTATGGAAGTATGTAATATTAACATTGCAATAATATACTAAAAATATAGTATTTATATAATTTTATCAAAACGCAAATAATTACGCTAGACCCTAAAAGTTTAAGATAATATTGAATTCACTGAAAACATAGGTTTATTCAAATTTAAATGTTAAACAAAATTAAAATGGAATGGAATGAAATGGGATCTGTATGAAAGAGTATAACTATTTTAATTTTATTGTTAGTCCAAATTAAGTTTATATTTGACCTTAAAAGGGTAACACAGTGAAATTATTGGAAGAATAGGAGATAATTAAAATTTAGATTTCTATTGATTGGAAAAAAATGAAGACAGTGATGTCTTAGACAAAAAAAAAAAAAGTGATTTTCACTTTCCACGTTTTATATCCGTTATAGACGTTAATATCCAAATTTTTAAGACAAAGTAGAAACATATGAAAATAACTAATTGATTGACCTAGCGGGGATCGAATCTACAACCCGTTTATGATTAGCAATACTTTGCTGCTATTAAACCAATGACCCTGGATGGACAAACAATCATGGGTTGACTTGATGAAGACGAACTCTAAGACGACTCGGAAAAAATCTATGTAATTGAAATTAATAAGAAGCAAATTGGACCCGACAGGGGTCTAACCTAGGGCCTATTGATTATTAGCCATACATTCCTAGCATTACACCAACAAACCCGTCACAATTAAAAGCATTAAAATTTTTTTTTTATTGTACTGGTTATACTTACCAAGTTGCTGGTATCCATAGGCAAGGCGTTCTTGTACCTAAGCCAATCTTCATAGACCTTATCATGTGGCAGTCGATACTCCGATGGCAAATAGCTCAAGTCCAATGGCTCTAAGCTCAAACTTGGTGAGTTCGCATCTATATTGTACGGATGAACGTGGTACTGTAAAGGCCTAACTACGTACTGGTCGCAGATAGATCTATCACAACAATGGCCGTGCGAGTGAGACAACAACGGTTGCGCCGTCTCTGTCACTGATATACTCTGTTTCGTTTCAACTGGGATTATATCGGGGTTAGTATCCGAGTGTTTTTCGTCTTTTGCCTCGCTTTTGTCTTCGAGTAGGTCCTTGGTCGATTCGTCGCGGCCTTTCGCCTTTTCCGGTTTTTCTCCTGCGATAAAATGTTTTTTTTTATAGAACCTTTAAAAACAATATATTGTTTTGAAGTTTAGATGAACGACTTGTCTGTAAATAAAGTTGATCAGTGAAACGGACACAGAAATGTGTCCGGCCTATGCCCCCAGAAAACGGGATTTCACACATTGCTAAGAAAGTATGTTTATTTAATATAAAACTTTTAACGGTTTATAGAATTTAATTTTATTTTGTAAGAACCAACGTTCAAACATTTTACAGCAGTCGTGGCCATGAAAACGTCACAGAGGTAGTCCCGTCGTAGTGAATAAGCTAAGCAAATTGTTGATTGCTTTATTTAAGATTATAAAATTCTCACCACGTCTCGGTTGGCAGTGTCGATAGCAAAGCACAAATGTCGCCAAAGTTCCGATACAGACTAGAACACTGACAGCACACAGTACCGACACCAACACAGCCGATAACTGGACACTGACGGCTGATACACCTAAAAACATCTTTACATTTACTTGAACCTAAATACATGATGTTAGGTTATGGTCAGATAGAAAATAAATTTGTCTATACGTCATATATAAGCATAAGTGTATATTTGAAACCTCATACTGATGTATATCTATCTGTATATTACTATAAAATTTTTTTATATATAGAAGAGACAAGGATGAGATTCACTTGTTGGAAGGGTATAATACTCCAGGTCTACTAACATCTAAACAAGATGTCTTAGCAACCTAATTTGGCTTTAAATTTTGAACTGACGCCTGACACCTGTAAGGTGATTACTGTTCGTTTCTGGGCGGTGGTCCGTGACCTGGACGGAATTTTCGATATTTCCACCACTGATTTAATATCCAGAGTTCCAGGAGTGTGAATGTTTCAGCGAAATTTTAAATCAATTAGAAACACGGTGGATCCGGTGTGCATAAAACTCACGGACCCGTTGATTATTAACCATACGTGACTATCAGTCAAAATTGTAAATAGCACGAAAAATTTATTCTAGGTATTTCAAAAGACTCTTTTTTTGTAATACAATAAACAAAAGCACATTATCAACGAGGCTAATAAATTTACCCTTTCATGTTTTATGAAAATCGTTTCGTAAACAATGTTAAAATATAAATAGATAACACAAATCCCGTTTCCGCATTCAAGTAAAGAAATTACATTTGAATAAACATAAATTGGCCAGCCTAAGCGAGCAGGAAACGATAAATTAGGTGAATGTTCGGGATTGGATTAAAATAAACCAATTTTACGAAGTCGAGCTGTAGCCACCCCATTCTGTGAATACAGCCAATTTAATACATACAAAGGTTATGAATACAAGATCAAGTTTTGTTTCGGCCGTCGTAATTGAGATATCGTTCTCGACATTTCGTCATTACGAGTGGTTGACAAATTAAGAAATGTTGCGTGTTACTACACAAGTAGAATATTTATTCCGAATTAGTTAATAAACCAGAAACTGACAATAAGTACACAGGAAAATTCTATCTCACGTTTAGAGTATAAGATTTCTGTTCAAACGTCATCAAATTAATAAACATAAATATTGTTGAACTAATCTCAGGTGTGACTAATAGGAGCGAAGAAACAGCGGGAAATGTGGAAATAATGGGGAAAAGTCATCTCTGTTTCGAAGCGTATGCGGCTTCAAAACACCTAAATAACATTTATGATAGAATGATTTATCTTTGATTGTTCTAAAAAAAGTCCGCGACGCTATATGTCTATCTTTTAAGATTAACTTGCAAGAATGACGGAACCCGAACAACGGGCCGAAGTCGGGGATAGAAGCTTAAATTTATAAAGATGAGGAGAAGAGGAGGTTGGCAAAATCATATTATCCTTACTAATATTATAAATGCGAAAGTAACTCTCTGTCTGTCTGTTATCCGTTTGGCGTTCTTTAACGCCAAAACTACTGAACGGATTTGAATGAAATTTGGTACACATGTGGTCTAAATCCTAAGAAAGACAATTACCACTTTTTATTGCGAAAAGCGGGTTAAATGGGGGGGGGGGGTGAGAAAATTTGTAAAGCGGAGTGGGAGTAGGAGTGACGTGAGGTGAGAGTGTTGCGGCAAAGTAGCACTTAGAACCGATAAAGCCAATTACAAAATAAAAAGCCTAAATAATTAAAAATTCTACCCCAAGTCACTATTTCACGCGTAGAAGTCGCGGGCACAGCTAGTAAAATATAAAATGGTCATATTATAAAAAAACGATAACGAAAGTTCGGAGAAAAGTTTTAGGGTATCAACATATAGGTACATAACAATACAATGACAATACGATAAATTTCGTAAAGGCAGGAAAGTTTGGCACTTTTAGCTAACAATTAGTATCCGCGCGAACTGTTCTCTTCCCGAACTACCCGCAAAATGGACGCTATTACGGTCGGGGTATAGTTGAGTCAATTTGAGTTGTGAACTAATTTTCCATCGGTCATGTTTCAGCGGTGTTTTGTTCTGAACTTTTTGAACTAAAACACGACTTGATTTATGAAGTGCGTTGTGAGGTAGGTGTAAAATGACCCTTCTTCTTGCCCCAGCCAGGGAATAGATTGCATTCGCCTACCTACATGAAATTATTATATAAAAGCTACTGATATCATCTCTTTAAGTTGATAACCATTATTATTCTCAAAAACACGATTTACTAAGCCATTATTAATTATAATATCTATGCGTACGAGTAATTTAGTAATGCATTTTTATAGTAAACAAAAATGCTTTCATACAATATATGACACCACTAAATTAAACATTCATCTTTGATTCGCGATAACAAACGCACAGACACATGTGGTTTTGAAAACCTCCTCCTCATCTCTATTACTAACTATAGCTGTTACCCACAGCGTCGTTCGTGTCCCGTCGTTCTTCCAAGTTAATCTTTAAACATAAGACATATACTATCGTGGTCATTTCTTTAGATCATTTAAAGAGGAATCATTCTTTAGTAAATATGTATTTGAATTATTTCATACATGGGTATCCTTAACCGTTGTTGCCCGCAGTAATCTATACTAATATATAAAGCTGAAGGGTTTGTTTGTTGGTTTGAACGCGCTAATCTCAGGAACTACTGGTTCGAAATTAATATTTTTTTTTTTTGTTAGAGCAATTATTGAGATAGGCTATAGAACATTGCGCTGTGACTAATAGGAGCGAAGAAAAAGCGGAAAATTCGATTAAACGGGGTAAATGAATCATCTTTGTAGGTTTCCGATGCGTACGCTGCGAAATTGGATCAAGATACACGAAAAAGATCTATGAGAGAATGATTCTTCTTTAAATTGCCAAATAAAATGTCCGCGACAGTATATTATGTTCATCTTTTAAGAAGAGCTCGCAAGAACGACGGGAACCGAAAGACGGATCGCGAGCCCAAGGTAACTATTCTACGCAAACGACGTCGCAGCTAGTGTTTTATAAATATTAAACGAACTTCGGACTAGTGGTTATTGTGATTAAAGCGTTCAAACAGACAAACTCTGAACCTTTCTAACAAAGTACAAATACAATGAACAACTTGAGCATGTATTCCCGGAAATCAAGACTTCTCGTGATCAACAACGATACTACAATAAAACCACCATACAGTGACCAAAATCCAAGGGTCTTAATCCAATAAATTAAGCAATACAAACCCGTATGCCGCTGCGGGTGTTCGAGCAGGCCCACGGTGACTGTGTGGGGTTCGCTCAACCCCACCCTATTGTATGCGTAGACGGACACACGGACCGATTCCGCGCCCGATACATTGCAAACTCTCCATTGTCCGGCGAGGCCCGTTCTGTTCGCGATTAGGGCACCGTTCTCTACGACGTAGACCTGTTATCAATTAAGTGTTATCGGATTAAGGGCTTACGCTCAGAAACATAAGCGTATCTAAATAAAACAGATATAACGGTTTAAAACGCGAAATATTACCATTATTCAGTTGTTTTAATTAGCGCCTTAAGTACTTAATGTATGCCACGTTTAAAACCGTTAAAAGTGTTTTATCTATGTGTCTATAAAACTCGTGTAAACTACAGACGTTAGCATATATAGTTTACTTCCGTCGTTTTGATTGTCAAATTTAAAACTTTTTATACAACACAGTTACAGTACACTTAAAATAAAAAGACTTTTATTACGAAATCTACACTTTGGAATTTACAATTTTAAATGTTTCTTACTTATATTTACAATGTTTATTTTGTACTAGTTTTCTATCTATTCTATTGTTATAAAAGATCCGTGTGCCGATCGGCAAAGGCCTCCTCCAACCTTATCCACTCCTTTCTATCTTGGACTATTCTATTCCACGTGACTCCGGCCACTTTCCTAATGTCATCTTCCCATCTTTTCCGAGGTCTTCCTCTTTTCTTTTTCCCTTCCCTGGAATACCATTCTGTTACTTTCTTACTCCATTTCTCTTTTCTCTGATTGTGTGCCCAGCCCATCTTCATTTCAATCGCCGAATTTTAGTTACTAGGTCTGTTACTTTCGTCTTACTTCTAATTACTTTATTCTTTTGTCTGTCTGATCTTTTGATGTCGAGCATGCTTCTTTCCATGGCATGTAGTTAATTTGTGTGTCATTTCCTGAGATAGTGCCCATGTTTGACATCCATTAGAAAAAACGGGAAGGACACAGGTATTAAATAATTTACTTTTGATATTTGTATGAAGTTTTTTATTTTTTATTGGCGCTCTCTTCATCGTATCTTTTCCATCCGTTTGTAATTCTTCTGTTTATTTCTTGTAGCATAGGTTCTTTTTGAGTTATAAACTGACCCAAATAAATGTATTCTTCTGTATATTCGATTTCTACTTCTTCTATTTTTATTTTATCTTGTACTCCATTGGTACAGTAAACTTATTAGTACTAAATTGTGTAAGTTAATAATATATAAATAATAAAAACATAAAAAATGACAATCGGTCGAGTCTCAGCTGTGCTGCAAAATGCTTGTCACAGACAGCAGCGTTGGTTTTGGCCCGGGTAGAGTACAAGAGGGCAGTTTAAAAGATGAATTTGTATAATAAAAATTGATAGTAAAACCATATAATCATACTCTTTTTTTATAAGACCGAGTTAGATATCTGCTTCCCAAGGAGAACTAGTTTTACATACAGCGTCGATTTTCATAAAGACTAAACGAATGGTAAATATAGAAATTCATATTTTAATTATAGAAAATATAATTAATTAACATATCACGCGGCTATTGTTTAGTGATACAAACTGTTAGAGTATTATCTACATTAGAGACATTTAACTTCAAATGTCTTCAGAATAGATCAATAAAGTTAAACATACAAATTCATTTTAGAGTGTCAAAATTAGGAATTCATTATATTCAATCGGTAGTCTGTAACGTCTAATTTTCGGTCAAAAATTCAACGGGAGATCTCCTTGATTTTTGACGAAACATTAGACCGTGTTGAGACTTATGAATTAAATTTACAAGGTTGGATTTGAAAGGTCTTTATTATTGAGACTTTAAAAGAAGTTATTAGTATTTATTATATTGAACTGTTATCGAGCTTTATCTCGTATGGCGATTTCTTCCAGTAAACACTTTCATGGTTGAAAAATCAAAATTATGGTTAAATGATTGAAAAATGATTTTTAACTTCGGCCCGACGTTTCGGATGCTTTGCAGCAGCCGCGGTCACGGGGAGATCTGAAACGTCGGGCCGAAGTTAAAAATCATTCTCAAATAAGTTTAACTAACATGTATCGCGTTTTAAACCGTTAAAGTGTTTTTTTAAAAAAAACACTTCGATTGTTGAAATCTATAGATGCATCAGATAGATTTTGTAAATTACAAGACTTGATTTGAAAGGAAACATTAGCAATGACCTCACATCCCCTATATCCCCAACGGAATTGGATGAAATGTCAGCATTTGTGCGGACTGATCACCCGGCCTTCGATTGGTGTCTCCAAAGGAATAATAATAGATTGTGAAGATCTCAATACATGAAATACTGTCTGTAGTTTACGCGAGTCACATTTAAATAAACACTTCAACGGTTTAAAACGCGATATATATTAGTTAAACTTATTTTAAAATATTTCTTAACTACGGCCCGACGTTTCGGATGCTTTGCAACAGCCGTGGTCACGGGGAGACGCACCGTTTCAAATAAGTTTAATATATATCGCGTTTCAAACCGTTAAAATGATTCATTAAAATCTAAATACATGATTAAATAATACCATATCATCTTTTAATATTAAAACAAAATGTAATTTTTGAACACACTGATCTCCAAAACAAATAAACAAAAACAGTAATGATCATTTTTGTGAAAATGCTTCATGAAATGAGGGTATAAACGAAACATATAAACCTGAATATTAAGAAATAGCTTAATCATGAAATATACCTGTAATAAAAACTCCTGCGACAGGCCCCCGTCGTAACCCGGCGAGCAGTCGATCATAAAACAGTCGTGGGTCACATTGTTAATATCACAACTCTGGACTGCAGATGGTCTGTCTAGGAGGAAAATATTTATTTATTATCTGTTGATTTACAGACCTACAGACTACATTAATTATATCTCTTTAATTTAGACCTCGACAAACTGATCGCGACGGCGACACTTTTTCGGTATCCATCTATAGATAACCAACAGTAATCTTGGGTTTGTTTTTTGGATCCATTATATTTGAAAACCATTTTCACATTCAAAAGTTACGATATATCTGAAAAATTTAAACACAAATAGGTGGTAGAACCCATGTCTTAACATGCTAAGCCTAATAGATCGACAGCACATCAAAATTAGTAATGATGGTTAAACACCGCAGTCATATTATAAGATACGCGGTCGACCTCTCACACACACACACACAATGACTGAATTCGACACGCGATTAAACATCACGTCTTTTTCGTCTGTGGTCGTTCGTGATCCAAGCTTTTGATAGGCCTACTACAGTACTTGCTATCGTTACAAAAAACCAAAGTTGGTGGCACTGTAATTGGAAACCTATGATATTTAATCCATTATATTATGTAGATGGAATGGAACAATTTCTACAACAATTTTTTCTCTTTATGCAGCTTGACTTGTCTTACTTTTTTGTAAAGTTTACTGTGTTTTTATTTTTACAATAGCGACTTTTTTTTTGTTTATTTTCACTTGAGTGCGGCACCGCTGTCCTCTAAGTACTTACTGAAAATCAGTCTCAGGTCAACAAAGGGCCTGATATAAACTGAGTAAGATCCTATTCTACTAGCAGCACACAACATTATCTTATCCTGTTAATATTAAGTTATACTGTTAAGGAAATATTATGTTTTGTCTTTTTTTTTGTTTTAGTAATAAGTGTAACACATGTTTTTGTATTCCTTGGTAGTCAATAAATTTCTTTCTTTCTTATTTAGTATAATAATGTTTAAGAAAGATTATAACTTGATTAAAAATCATGTTGCATCCATTTTATTAAAGCAATTGCAATGTCAATGCTATCTTAAGACCAACGATCCTGTCAATATATAAATATAAAAGGTATTTCGTACACGGTCGAGTTTTTAAAACAAGGGTATAAGATACTGACCGGCTGGTAAGATATGGAACAAGCACGGCTCGGTCTGTCGTCCCACCGAATTGGTCCCCGAACATTGTACCCAGCCATACTCCGATGAGCTATTTACTCTGTAGCGGTATGAATCTGTGGTAAAATAATCTGTTTCAATTCAATTCGATCTGGCCGTTACAAACAAAAATAGAAAATTGTTCCAATTTTGAATAGTTGCAGTGCGAGCACTAAAAAAAGGGTTAACATTTATTCAAAAATTTTGTAAAGCTATTGCAGTCATTTTGCAAAGCTTTTTTGACTTTTTGGAGCTGTTCGGCCGCCGTGTTTGAGAAATTGCTCTCGATGTTTCGTTCACGAGTAAATGACATCATTTGATGTTCTCCGTTCCTCGATTAAGTCAAGTTTTGTCTAGACCAGTTTCTGAATTACGACGGTCGAACAGCTCGAAAAGACAAGAATCTGTCGCTTATGGCTGTTTTATTCCTGTGTTACGGTTAAGAAGTAAAGATTAAATAAAATTCATCTAATAGTATAAAACTCGAAATATATCAGGATATTTAATAGGAAAATAAGGAGAATTTGTTTTGTTTAGTCTAAGCTGTTCAGTTTTCCAAATAGCATAGAATAAAGTTCATCATTCGTTGACTGCGCTGCGAAAACAATTCAAGAAACCTAAAAAGACGTATGAAATAATGCATTAAATGTAAAATCGCGACAACATACGTCTGTCTATTTTTAAGATTAATATGCAAGAACGACCGGACGCGAACGACGTCGCGGGCACAGCTAGTAAGTAATAAAAGGTGTGTTAAACCATGAGCGTAGCTAATATTAATTAATAAAAATTGCTATTAAACAAGCGTAACATAACTGTGATATATTGGTAAAACGTTAAAACTGTTATCGGCTTATTTTTAAATTCATTAAAACTTTTCAGAGATTAACTGGAATTAACACAGACAGCGCTCAAAGTTCCAATAGGATTTCGTAAGTACTGTCTGAATCAATTATCGGGTTTTTGTATTAGCTCGATTTAGTTATTTTATTTAAAATGTCTTTTTAAAATGTAATATGGATTTTGTGTAACATTTATATTGTGGTTTTATTTTAGTTTTAATGTTTATTTAAAATACTTACTTCCAGTGCTACTGCTGAGTTCTCGTTCGCTGTAAGTTGAACTGTTGAACCACCATCGAAATGACGACGGCTAAACAAAGCATTGTTTATTAATATTTTGTTTACGAATTAATCATACATTTCGTGTAGGGTTCTTGTCATAAGGTGAATGTATAATAATATCTTCTAAAGAAAATGTATCTTCACTTAACATAATTTGGTTATGTTCTATTTTTTAATATTTGTATACATTCCCAGGGCTCTCCACGTCACCATTGCCCGAGGTGGGCGTGCTTTAGGCATTTACACCATAGTTAAAAGTAGAGCAACCATACATCGTATCGAACAAAAAATGATAGAAAATCCAAGCTATATTTTATATTAAAATAATTTTGAGCAATAACACTATAAGTCAAAATGAAAATGGTAGCGCGCGCGATGTTCTATTTTTATATTTTGTATACAGATAAAATAAGAAGCAACTAAAATTTTCATAAAACCACAGACATCTCTTACCATAGGATTAGCGTCCACGTCGCATTGTATTGTGACAGTTTCGCCTCGGGCCGCTCGTAGCGCAGTGCCTTCTCGCTTTGAGCACACCGGACTAACTAAAGAGAGAAATTCATTATGTTATTTAATACTAAAATTACAAATAGAAACACATAGTGAAAAGTGAAACACTAATAAAACGACTTATACATAGATAATACAAGAACTTATACTACGGTCTGTAGTAAATTACAAATCGCGAGTAGTACACATTTAAATAAAACTCTTTAACGGTTTAAAACGCTAATAATATTAGTTAAACTTATTTAAAAATTATTTAACCCACAGCCCGACGTTACTAATATATTTCGCGTTTTAGGCGTTTTATTTAAGTAATAGAAATATCTATTCATTATTAAATACCATATCAGGGTGCCTTTCTTAGGGGATTAAACGATTTTCTTGTTAATCGTACGAAATTTAATGGCATTTTCTTTTAGCTCTCAAGAAACAATAACGCATTTAAATAAAACACTTTAACGGTTTAAAACGCGATGTATATTAGTGAAACTTATTTGGAAATTATTTTTACTACGGCCCGAAGTTTCGCATGCTTAGCAGCAGCCGTGGTCACAAGGAGACTAAAGAAAGAATAATGTCTCTGACGTCAAAGTAAAAACTGCTATGCTAGCGCCATCTGTTCCGTAGAAGTTAATATTGGGCAATAGTGGCCGTAGTTAAAAGAATTTTCAAATAAATTTAACTAACATACATCGCTTTTTAAACCGTTAAAGTGTTTTATTTAAATGTGTACTACTCGCGGAAACTGCAGACAGTATTTAAACGATAACTAGTTTCGCGATATAAGTATATTTATTCACGTTCTTACATTATGAAGAGACGTTGCCTATTTATATTCCGTGTTTGGGATCGAGTTGAAAGCTTTTTGAAATAAGCTCGTACAGTTAGCTTTCTAGATTATATTTACCGCTCACTATACAATGACTACGTGAATAAATCGCTTTGAAATTTGTTTGAACGCGCTAATCTCTGAAAACTAGTTGAAATTGAAAAAAAAATTGTGTTCTTAGATCATTTATCGAGGAAGGCTAAAACGCTGCGACTAATAGGAGCGAAAAGACAGCGGGAAATGTGAAAAAAAAACGGGGAAAATTATTCATCTCTGTGGGTTTCCGATGCGTACACTGCGAAACCGGAACAAGATATCCAAAAAATATGTACGAAGCTATGCTTCTCCTTCAAATTATTTAGACAATGTCGCCGACAGTATATTTAAGATAAGATTGTTCGGCAAGAACGACGCGACGCGGACGTCATCGAGGGTAGCAGCCACAATTTTGTGATGAGGAGGAGGGTTGCAAACACAAATTGTAATGCCCAAAATAACTATTTCACGCAGACGAAGTCGCGGACACAGCTTGTACATAGATATACATTAACATTTAGTTTAAAGTGGGTGAAACAGGAAAACTTAACGGTAGGTATTTTTAATTGGTTTTATTTAGCTCGACCCCTACGGAATTTATTTATTAGAAATTGAAATTTAAGCATCTTCCCGCTGTCAGATTGAACTGAAAATTGGTACATACATTTCATTTAGATGACATTACAATATAATAAAATCAATATACATTATAATGTTATCATTGTCCAAGATGGCCGCCGATACAAAATGGCGGATTACATATTTTTCCTAACCCCCACAATATGGGTATCAAATAAAAGTTGTGTTGATGACAATGATTATGTCAAATTTTTTTTTTAAACTGAACTATCTGCTGTCTATAGTTTACGCGAGTATTACACATTTAAATAAAACACTTTAACGGTTTAAAACGGTAAATATTAGCAAGGACTAATATATCGCGTCTATAGGTCTAATAACTGAACTATCTTTAATTTTTTTTTTTAACTGAACTAAAAAAAGTTTTTTCAGTTGACACTTGTTAAACTATATACACGATGTCACCTAAAAGTTGCCAAGCGATACGAAACTTAGTGGATCAAAAGTGAGGTGATACGCGTAGCTTTCTCTCGCAAGTTCGTAAAACCACTTAATATTCGAGCAGCGACTCGCATCTTCATGAAAGCTTTTAGAAGCTTCACAAGAATCACAGATCTCATAAATTACTCGCGCGTTGCCTAAACTTGGATAACTTTGATTTGCCAGATAACTTAGATTAAAATTCGCTTCAGCGTATAATCATATTAAATTAATGTTTCCCATATTTATATTTAAACTAATATTATACGAATGTTGATTTGTTAGTCATTTCTTGCCCCTACGTAATACTACGTAAAATTGGTCTAAATAAGTTGTTTTTATGATATAGGAGGACAGATAGACGACATACCCTATAATAAGATTTGAATATCCTGGTCTCAAGAAATAAAATAAAACATTTAGATATACTTTAACTTTTAAATAAAACACTTTAACGGTTTAAAACGCGATATATTAGTTAAACTTATTTGGAAATGATTTTTAACTTCGGCCCGACGTTTCTTACTGATATAGATTAACTTTTTTAAACGCGAACTATAGGAGGGATATGGTTCTACCTATAACTAAAGCTGTACCCAACTGTTTAAAATGTTGTCGGGTCGTAGTTAAGTTACTAATTACGTGTTTATTAACCGTTAAAATTATTTTACTTAAATGAAAAAGTATTTTCACTATCTATCTGCGTGTTTAAATACGAATAAATCCCGCGGTTAGTATTTATATACGATTTCTTATAGAGTCGTAACGGCCCATACCCCACTTTGTAGTAATCTACGTATCATTTATATATTTAAAAGAGGCTTACCATCTAAATACACATTATCTATTTTATCATAGATTAAAATGTATTGTTTGTGGGGTATTTTGGTATGTAACGTGAAAACGTTTTAATAAAACATTGTTTTAGTTAGACTTATTTATGTTAACTTGCCGGCCCCCCCTTCCGGGGCCCTTCCGGCAGCCTCCCCGTGACCCCGGCTGCTGCCAAGCATCCGAAATCCGAAAACGTTTAAGAATTATAATACTATAACAGTGTTTAACGTAAAAACTTTAAGTACTCAAAAAGTAATCTACGATAAAATGCATACCGTTAATTTCTTATGCATACCTTAACAAAAAACGGTGCTGTCGTCAAGTAAAAACAGCACAGCAGTATGTAAATAACGTGTTAATGTAAATGAGTACATGCCAGTTTTCATATGCTACTTTCAAGTACCTCAAAGAATGCGTTAATTATCTAAATGTTAATAATGGCTAATATACGCGTTAAATCTATTTAAAGTTAAATATTGTCCGTAGTGTACGCGAGTAGTACACATTTGAATAAAACACTTTAACGGGGAGACACTACTTGACCACGGCTGCTGCAAAGCATCCGAAACGTCGGCCGTCGCTAAAATAAGTTTAACTAATATATATCGCGTTTTAAACCGTTAAAGTGTTTTATTTAAAATATTAAAAATTGATAATTTGGGATATTTTGGGATATGCCGTCAAACTTATGACATTAATTTAATTATATTATATACATAATACCGAGTATATTAAAATTGTCCTAGTAGTTTAGTTACACAAAATTTATCGACTCTTGCGCTATTTAGAAGCAAGGGTTCCTTTGATGGAAGGTGAAATACGTGAGACATAATATCTGAATAAGATGCGCGGTCCTCGTATTTTGGCTTTGGTTTCTTGATCTACAGTTTGAAACGATTAAACTTCACGGCATTATTATCTGACGGTGGTCTGTCACCCGGACGGAATTTTCGACATTGCTACAAACCATTTAATACCCAGATTTCCCCACGAAGTACAACATGTATCAGAAAATTTATAAATTAATTAGAAAAATGTTGGACCGCAGTCTTAATTAAACCGACGAGCTTATCGTTTCGTTTATATTCTATTTTGAAAAGTCCTAATATCGTAATCAAATATGTCGGCATACAGTTTACTACAACCTAATAAAGAATACATCATAATTTATTGTAAAATATGTACTTACATTTAACATCAAGATGCAATGGGTCACTGCTGCCCTCTCCTAGCGAATTGCGGGAAACACAAACGTATGCGCCGGCGCGTTGTCTAGAAACACGCTGTAGAACTAGGCTTTGACGCGACACTAGTACTCCGCCGCTGCCTTTTACAACCACCCCCTATATGAAATTAATGATATTTAAGTAATAGTAGTAATTATTGTTGGCACCGACTTCAAAATTATAATATGTATATAATTTTTAGCTTACTGTTTGAAATCAGTTATTTTTTTATTATCTTTTGTCTTGTCTGCATTTTGTCTCTTTACTAAACATTGCTATAGTATCTATAATATAGTACTCAGTGAGACCCATTTTTTTGTACTGTACAGTACTCCAAACAAATCTATGCTAATATTATGAAGCTAAATAGTTTTTGTGTTTGTTGGACCATTTATAGAGAAAGGCTTTGGACTAAGTTGCAACCAATAGAAGAGAAGAAAAAGTGGGAAATGTCGAAAAAAAAAACTGAGAAAATTATTCATCTTTGAGAACGGCCGTTGCGAGCGCTGCGAAAATGGTTCACGATACCCATAAATGATCTAAAAATGTCAGCGATCTATCTTTTAAAACTAACTTGAATGCGGGACGCGAACGACGTCGTGGGTAACAGGTATATTTTTAAAGATAAGATTTGATGCCAAAATACTTTCTACGCGGACGAAGTCGCGATCACACAGTACCTAGTACTTCATAGATTCTTGTACGGTCAGCTAGTTTAAGATAAAAACAAAAATACCAGAACATATAATTTAAAAAAAAAAAGAATTTCAAATGAACGGTTGAGTCAGATGGAGAATTTTTGTAAATCGTTACGTTTTTCATGTCTGTGAATTTAATGTTTCCATTCAAAAGAATGAAGAATATTTAAATGATACACGTAAAAGTTTACATAAAAATATTTCAAACAGAACTTGCTAACCACACACGTGCGGTACTTAATTAAAACCGAATGTTAAAAGAAGCTAAGTTGTGTGACCTCCTTTTACAGTATTTGAATAAAGGAAAATGTTGAAAATTTCAAGTAACAAATGTAAAAACTGTTTTCACTACAAAACAGTTAATGCGATGCCATTAGTTGTAACATTTTCTTCTGGTGGAAAAACTTGATTATTTCAGTATCCTCTTATTCCTATAGTTAAGCATTTATTCTTATATATTAAAGTCATAAAATTTAAACAAAACGCATTGTCGACCTATTTCGGCTTTGGATTCGAAAATCGATAAACTAAATCCGCGATCAAACTTGACGCCTTATTCGAGATATCTGTGGACGTTGGTTCGTGACCCGGTCGGAATTTCAACATTCCTACCACCATTTAAATAAAACACTTTAACGGTTTAAAACGCGATATATTAGTTAAACTTATTTGAAAATGATTTTTCACTTCGGCCCGACGTATCTTCAGTCTCCCCGTGACGGCTGCTGCAAAGCATCCGAAGTTTAACTAACATATCGCGTTTTAAACCGTTTAAGTGTTTTATTTAAATGTGTACTACTCGCGTAAACTATAGACAGTATTCCTACCACCATTTCAATATCCAGATTTCCAGACGAAATATAAATATATGTTCCAGAAAAATAAATTGATTAGGAACAAGTTCAACCTGCTGGGGTTCGAACCCACGAGCCGTTGTTTATTAGCCATACATTGCTACCATTACACCATCGAGCCCGTCAACAGGGATATTTCATGAAGGAATATTATTTGTCGAGAACCTTTTCTATAAATATTTTTAATAACATTCCGGGCAAACTTAGATGGAATTTGTCGTGCCCGCTGGGCCATATCGTACAGTCAACAACAAAATTACGCACCTCGTTTATTATTAACGTGGAATTTTATTGAAGTTTTGCTGATATATATATATTTTTTTGCAAACATCCTGTTCAACTCTATAAATTAAGGCTGTTACCCACGACCGCGTCGTCTGCGTCCCGTCGTTCTTGTAAGTTAATGTTACAAGATAGACAAATACTGTCGAGGACTTTTTTTAGATCATTTAATGAGAAATCATTCTTTCATATATATTTTTCGGGTATCTTGAACCGTTTCCGCAGCGTACGCATCGAAAACGCACAGCGTAAGTCGAATAATTTTCCCCACAGCGATATGTTTAGCCTATAGCGTTCCTCAATAAATGCTTCAACAAACATAAAAAGTTTTTTCAATTCGCACCAGTCGTTCCCGAGATTAGCGCGTACAAACATACAAACAGACAAACTCTTCAGCTTTATATTTTACTATAGATATATAGTTGTATATACTCACATTGTAAGTAAAATAGACGTGTTCGTGTGGTGGATTCGCTCGAACACTACACTCGAGGTAGACGTCAGATCCCTCCATTATGTTATCAGGGTCTAGATTGGCACCCAACTTTAGTTTTGGGATCGGCACATCTAGAGAAACAAACAACACAAATATAAATTATATATTCCCCTTAAAACGCCACTAGATATGAATGTTTCTTTCTATCCTTAAATAAATTACTTAGAGGCTTATTCACGTTACATTACAATATCTACGGATATCTTCTTTTCGAATAAAACACTTTTGACTGTTTAAAACGTGAAAAACATTAAACAACTTATTTTTAATATATTTTAACTACGAGACGTTTCGGGTGCTTTGCAGCAGTCGTGTCTCGCGATCGTGTATTCGTGTTTTGAACCGGTAAAAGTGTTTTATTTAAATTAAACTAAGCGTTTTAAGAGTGACGGCGAGTAGGTATCTTAGCAGTTCTCGCTTCACCCCTTAATTTAAGAATGTCTTCTATATATAATTTAAATTTATATGACGTTTAAAAGTGTACTTAGGTCAATGATATTTGATTACTCATGTAACGAAACGTTATCGTTTGCAGAGATTTTACTTAAAATGGCGTCCAAATAGATTGAACGGGAATATGATAAGACTTAGTAGTTTTTTTTTAAACGCGATATAATAAAATTATCATTAAGTTTCTTTCTACTGTCTGTAGTTTACGCGAGTAACACACATTTAAAAAAAAAACATTTTAACGGTTTAAAACGCGATATATATTAGTTAAGTTTATTTGAAAACTATTTTTAACTTTGGCCCGATGTTTCGGATGCCTATCAGCAGCCGTGGTCACGGGGAGACGAAAGACGCGTTTGAAAACGCCAAGACACCGTTATCCGGCCAGTTTCGCCAAATACCAACTCCGACGGAATAGATGGCGCTAGCGTAGCAATTTTTACTTTGACGTCAGAAACATCGCCGAAGTTAACAATAATTTTCAAATAAGTTTAACTAATATATATTGCATTTTAAACTGATAAAGTGTTTTATTTCAAAATTTATTTCTACTCGGGTCGCCTGGAAGAGATAGCTTATAGCGCTAAGGGCACCTGGTAAACTTTATGGTTTTAAAATTGCACTGTGTGTATTGTGTATCTGTATGTTCTGTTTTTGTATCTAAGTATGAAATAGAATAATAAAGGACGTTTAAAATACATTGAAGCATATTCTGTCTCTATCACACACTAGTACTAATCTTAACAAAAATACTTATTTAATCCCAGGTATCTCTTTAAAAGCTAAAGCGTCAGCACTTGGAGAATTTAATTAAATCAAAATCAGGTCAACCGTTTTTAAGACCGACGAGCTCTTAAAGTTGAGAAGAAAAATAATTAGACTCGTCCTTTGTGGGCTAATCGTTTGGAAGATTCTTGATATTTAGAAGAAAAAACAGAGTAAGCAAGATGAAACTCACTTGAGATGTCTTAGGAATATATTTTAGATATTATTTGTACGGTTACGCCAGTAGTACACATTTAAAACATTTTTAAACGGTTCAAAACGCGACATGTATTCGTTAACTTACTTTTAATTTATATTAACTACGGTTCCCGTTTCGGGCGTTTGGCTTTGGATATTCGGAAATCCAGACTAAAACCGAAACGTGATTAAACTTCACGGCTCTTTTACCTGTGGACGGTGGTTCGTGACCCGGGTGGAATTTCGATATATTAATATCTAGATTTCGGATATTAATATATCGAAAGAAGTCCAATATGTTTTAGAAAAATTAGAAACCTATAGACCCGTTGATTTTTAGCCGCACATTGATTGCTATCATTACACCACCGAGCCCTTAAAAAAATAATAAAGAGATAATTCAAAACTTACGTTGTATATCCATCTGCCATCCATCTTCACGGACGGAATGCTTTAAGTTCTGCTGGACTGATCTGCAGGAGATCACCCTGCCGGCGTCTTCTACGGTTGGCACTATGGTCAGAATGCTGCTTGTAACATTGCCATCAGGGGATACCTAGTAAACAAGTAATAACATCAATTTCACTACGTATCAAAAGAGAACAATATTTGTTCATATTATATTAAGACATAGAAAAACACAATGTGAAGTCATCCCGTGACCACGGCTGCTGCAAAGAATCCGAAACATCGGGAGTGAAAATAATTCGTAAACACAAATATATTTCGCGTTTTAAACCGTTAAAGTATTTTTTGTTAACTCCCACTAAAAGTTGACGCGATCTTAAGAAGCCGTGACGTCATAAGTAATTTTAGGGTTAGTTTTTTACAATATATGTTTAATATTGGGAGCTAAATAAGTCTAAATCTATAATTTAAAAAAAAATATATATTATAGTCATTTTAATTTCTCGTCCAGCTTAAAAATGTTGAGTGTGTTTTGAAAACGTTATTTTTCACTTGTTATTGTACATGGCAATATATCATGTTTGCTAAGGAAAAGAGAGAAATTATTCTCTCCGAACTTCTAGTTTTCTAGAAAGTTCTCAGTTCTGATAAAAACACGATACTCTCTGTCCGATTCAGTGGTGATTTATATCTTCCTAAGACTAAGACATTTGAGATGAAGATAAAATACCTCTTGATAGCTAACTTAGTTTCAACTTTCTTAAGAAAAGTTCAGTTAATACAATAATCTGCAGAAAAATTAAATATGAAATCCTGTTTCCCTTAGCGGGCATGACACATTTCGCTGGCGTTATTTATATTCAACACTTTTGAATAAAACAATTTTAACGGTTTAAAACGAGAAATGTATTGTTTAAGCCCATAAGATTATTTATCGAATCGTCGAGCCGTAAATAATTTGTAAATAAATTATACACTTCGTGTATTAAACGGTTCAAGGTGTTTTATTTAATTTTCACGTCCATATCTCAAACTTATAAACTTTCGTTGCAGACCGTACGCGTTTCATCTTTTCTTAGAGTAGCATAAAGTCTGCCCTTTACTCCGTCTTAATAGTAATTTAGAGCTTAGTAGCGAAGAAATAATCTAGATTTCAGCGGTGAAAACTGGGTCAAGTCCGCTGCTTAGGGGTGAGGCCGGCTTAAAAATAGTTTAAAGCTAAGAATTATACAATGAAAATGCATACTAATTCTGCTGCCAGGGTCGCAGCCCACAAGTGAGCAAAAATTTTATTTTTACCGTCCACATTTTACCACTACGGATTTTATTCTATACGACGTCATAAAAATGGGAGACACGTTGTTTTGATGTTCGCCTTTTTTATGCAGCACTGGGGCAAAATATATGGGATTGAGTTCCGGTGGTAAAGAGGATAATCTATACTAATATTGTAAAACTGTATAGGTTTTTAGTTTGTTTGTTTGAACGCGCTAATCTCAGGAACTGCGGTTATAATTGCAGCTTTGCTTAGAGCATTTATCGAGGATGACTCAAGGCATTACTTGCTTTTTATAAGCATCAGGCTGCACCAAAAGGAGCGAAGAAATATTAAGAAATATGGATAAAAACGGGAAAAGTTATTTATGTTTGAGAACGTCCGTTGCGCGAGCTTTAAAAAAAGATTCAAGGTACCACAAAAAAATATATGTCTATCTTTTAAGACTAAGCTCACTTCAAAGCTACTTACTCTACTTCCCTTCTGTATATATCGTAATTTCAGGAGGAAAATTAACCAATTTTTTTTTTCGAAGAATTTATCGTCTCTTCATTTATGTCTAAAGTCGTATAACGCCTACCTTTTCTCGTATTGTGTGAAGTCTCGTGGCGCCTTTCCACCAGGACATTGTTGGGTGTGGTCGGGCCCCAACAGCTTGGCAGACCAGTTCTACTCCTCGTCCAGCAACTAACGGTCTTGCTCCACCGATAATTCGTACCCATAGAGGGTAGACTAGATCACAAAAAATACAATGTTTTTTTTTTATACAATACATTAGTAAATTTAAGTCAGTCAACTAGACAATCTACTAAAAAAGTCTAAATCAACATGGATAAAATTTACGATTCTTCGTCTGTAAACAATACTTTTCAATAAGATAGATAGTAGATTTTATAGATTTTTAGTAACCAATATGGTACTAAAATCTACGGTGGGCGTCGAATCCACGATCCAATTATCCTTACCGTTGGTTTAATGAGTCAAAAATACACTAAGTTACAGCGGTGTATCGAAAATATTATCTACTAACAGTCTAACAACTTTAATTCCTAGTAAGATTCTGTTTATTTAATAGAATTAGCAGGAATATACACGTGACAGAGCGTGGGCCACAATTTCAATAAAACATAAAGTACTCTCACAAAGCTTCGATCCTACGTAAATAATCATAAAAACTTACGATTCATGTCGATAGTGACGTTCTCTGAAAGCGGCGTTATAGATGGGTCAGTGACGGCCTGTTTCATACAAAATAGATCAGATTCTCAGATAAATAGTAAAATATTTTATAACATATTTGCTCGTAAAGTGCTTGTAATCACACCAATTTCAATATCGTAATGTATCTCATTACGTACTTGTGCGATAATGTAATGTAAAAGGCACGTGTGTTTTTTTTAGCAAAGAGGTTTTATGTCAAGAAAGTGGTATATATTTTATGAATAAAATTTACTTTCGGTAATAAAATATAACAAATAAACATTTAATTCTTTAATTTAATTAATTTTGACAATAAATTACAACCATTTATCTATAACAACAACACAAAAATATTAATTGACATTATTAGTAATACTGGCTGTTTTTGTACCTTTACCTTAAAAAAACGCTGATGCGCGCGCATCGCTTATTTGAAATACCCCTGCTATTATATAACTGATCTTCACATAACATCTAAACAAGATACGTTGTCGATCTTTTTGGCTTTAGTTATTCGAAATTCTGCAGAACCGAACGCGATTAAAATTGAAGACTTTTTCATCTGTGGTTCGTGACTCACGACGGAATTTCGATGTTCCTACAGCCCATTGAATGTGTCAGAAAAATTATACATTAATAAAAAAAATGTGGACCCAGTAGGAATCGAATAAACGACCCGTTGATTATTAGCTATACAATAGCGACTAGCCCGTCAGATTTATGAAACATAGGATTTGAAAAGTAACAAAACACAGTGTTAACTTCTTAAATAAGGTACCGAGAGTTTTAAGTGTGTGATTTACAACCAAATTAACAAAACATTTTACTAAACTTTATAAGAAGGTAGTTATATAAATTAGCCAATTGTAGCTGGATGATATTATAATAAAAGTATATTTTGCGATAATATGAACCTTTCGTAACAGTTACTAACGTTGTTGTACCTATTTATAAGTCATTGTGTTTTCTGTTCTTTAGTGAGCAGTCCAACTTTGATACGTATGTTATTAATTGTAACCTGTATATTTTCAGACAACATAATGGTATCAAGCGAATTAAATTAGTCCAAACAAATCAAAATCAGTTAAATTTGTATAGAGTAAGAGACATCCAACATTTTCACCTTGATTATAATAAAGTTACATACTATATTGAACAGGACTTACCTGACAAGTAAGGGTAGCAGGATACAAATCCCGCTGCAGTGTGAAAGAGACAGATGCTCGTGACTCCGAATTGGCTAGTAGAGCATGAGACTGCCACCAGGATACCCTTGCTGCTGGACGGCCTAATATAGATCACAAAGGTATAGGACATTGAACTTTAATAATCAAGAGTTAAAGTTGAAATTACAATGCTAGCAGCATGTGTCAATAGGTTTTCAAATTCAACGATGACGTAAAGAACAAGGTAGCTCAATTGGTTAGAGCAACAGCACGGATCGCTGTCGATGCCGGTTCAAGACATGCCCGTGTCGTGATTTTTTAAAATCTATAAACGATTTTTAATTTATATTTATAGTGTTCGCAGTTTCTAAATATTCCGAAAACACTTTTAACAGTTTAAAACGCGATATATATTTGGTAATTAGATTTTATTGTGACCCTAATTACCCTGTACTTTTCTCTGTTTCGGCTGGGGTTAAGCATCTATAAGTCAGTAGATATAAAAATTGATACAGTTCGCGTTTTCAACGGTTAAAATATTGAAGATACCCTACCTCCAATAGCAACACAAGTGAGATTGACCCTGGTCCCTTCATCGAATGGCCCCATAGCGTTGCCCCGAAACTCTTCTCCATCTTGATCCAGTATCACTAGTCGTTCTGGAGGTACTGTTGGACAAACAAAATAAATAAAATATTTTAACGGTTTAAAACGTGATATATACATTTCAAATAAGTTTAACTAATATATATCGCGTTTTAAACCGCTAAAGTGTCTTATTTAAATGTGTACAACTCGCGTAAACTACAGACAGTATTTAGATCGACCATGTATAAGGGGAATTGAATGTTTATATAAGTGTGTGTAAACTCACACACCGTGTCACACAACGTGACGCTTACGAAAAGGAGTGATGTAATTAAGGGGTGACCTTAAGCAAATTAGTGTGACGTCTGTATTTAAATAAAGCTAAATCGATACTAACTCAAGACAGTGAGGTTGAGCCTAGTGTTCTTTGTCGGCGATTTTATGAAGTCCACTCTACATCGGTACTGTCCGCTGTCTTCGGGCCTGGAATAAAAACTCTATGTAGATGGTGTGTTGTCGTCTTATAAGGAATACATATCTTACAATACTAAATGACTAAGATGAAGAATAGTAAAAGTATTGTTGCAAAGTGTTACACACGATATAATAATTATATATATTAAAAGAGATGTGTAAAAATGTATGTGGGTAGAATGAGTAGGTCCTTTTATATATTTTATATTTAGTACGAATCAATGTCTGTGAAAGATTTTTAATTTTAGATTCCGAAAATATCTCTCAACAATATTTAACGAACTGGCAATAGAACACAAGCTCTGTAAAAAGGAAGTGGGTGAGGGGGCAAAGGGCCTAGAGAGGAAAGGGGGGGCTAGAGGGGAAAGGGGGGGACTAGAGGGGAGAGGGGGGGTCCCACTACCCCCTCTAGTCTAGAACCCAGATTGGTTCATAATCCATAATTTTAACAAGATGCCTGTATTCCAATGGCAAATAACTCATTATTTTGAATGTTGTACATATTTACCTTATCTTAGTAAGTACCAGCAGAGCTGGGGTGGTACTAGTTCGGAAGGAAGCCCTCGCCCCGAGCGTTGCGGGGTCAGACCAATGTGTGTCCACGCCATCTCGCGTGTCGAAACTGTAACAAAAATGTGGAACGTTGGAATACTATTTGAGTATTCAAAGAAGCTTTTATAAAAGGTTGCTTGAGCATGTTTTCTTTACTACTACAACATCGCTGTAAGCTTTATATAATTTACAAACAGTGCTACGCTTATCTATGCTAAAATTATGAAGCTGAAGAGATTTATTGTTTGAACGCGCGTTAATATGAGAAAAATCTGGGTCGATTATTTTTGCGTAAGAGCAATTATCGAGCAACGCTTTACGCAATTAAACATAACGCTGCGACCGGGCATGCGCTGTGATAACGGTTCAGCCAAAACATACGTATTAATGATTCCTCTATAAATTATCTAAAAAAACAGCAACAATTTATTTCACGATAACCGCTATAATTTAGGTATAAAGATGAGGAGATATGCAATAACAAATTTTGATGCCATAAATAACCATTATACATGGACGAAGTCGCGGGTGTAGCTAGTGGAATATAATTATCATAATGTAAACTTCTATGTCATATTTTCAAATCATATAGTGCCTAGATTAGACCGCCTCTGTAGCCAAATGGTTAAACGTATTGCCTAGCATTACGTTAAGCGCGAGAGGTCCTGGGTTCGAATCCCAGGGAATCATAAAATTGTTTCTGTCGGGCAGGGCACACAAGTCTGATCAACTACTTGCCCGTTAAAAGAAAGGATCAGTACAACGGACACAGAAATTTGTTCGCCCCATGCACCACGAGGGGGAAACGGGCTTTCACTTTTTTTAAGTGCCTAGAAATAATTGCGTTTCTTGTATGGCAACGAAATTTGTAATATTTGTTGCTTTGCGGCAACATAAATACACAATTTCTGAAAATACCTCTCGACAAACATTAAAATCTTAGTATCAGGTAAACTTTATAATGAAAAATAAAATCAATTAACTCCATTCGTTTCTTATAGCAGGAAGTCAAAAAGAAATTAAACCACGGCTCGGATCGTGATTACAATAATTAATCACTGTGTGTGCTCAGTTGCGTTTGACATCTCAAGATACGAGTAGAGACAGACACTTGCGCTTAATACGGAGTTAATGATAAAGCTTCAGAGATTAAGCTCGATTGGAATGAACTCATAGGAGCTTTTGAGGTCATTGTGCTGCCAAGTGTTAATTTCTTAGAGTAAAATGATGAGGAGAATGGGAGCTTTGGAGAAGTATCTACGTATGTATGTTTGTTTGTTTGAACGCGCTAATCTCAGGAACTACTAGTGGGAAACGAATAGCTAAAAAACCATCGTATTGGGACTAATAGGAGCGGAAAAACAGTAAGAAATGTGGGGAAGTGTTTTTTATTTCCGGGATACCGTTGCTTACACTGCGAAAATGGTTCAAGATACCCCAAAAAAATGATTCTTCTTTAAATAATCTAAAAAAAAATCCCGCGACACCATGTCAATATTTTAAAATTAACTTGCAAGAACGACGGGACGCGACAGACAGACAGAGTCATGTCCAGCAGCTTAGTTAATTCTGAAAATTTTGCTAATTTTGATGCCTAACTAACTATTCTACGCAGACAAAGTCGCTAGCACAGCTATTAACAGCTAAATATATAAATTAAAACCTTCACAAGATGATTTTTTTTGGATTCCAGCAGTCATGGGCACGGTGTGAATTGTAAATAAGTTATCTAATACATTTCGCGTTTTAAACCGTTAAGTTTATTTAAATGACGTTGTTTAATTCATACGTTGTACCTTTTAATTGGTTTCGAGAAAGTTTTTTTTCAGCCAGTATCAAGTGTCCAATTTAAAAAATGGAACACTTCGAAACACTGTCTCGCCTGACCAATTGTTTCCTTTAATACTTTTACTCGAACGTTCGTTGTTTGATTTCGAATTGGGGACACAGTAGTGTAGGACAGTGACAAATAGATCGCAAGAAAATCCTTAGGTATCATTCTGTCTTTGCAACTCGAAGTGACAGCTATTCTCGGACGTAATTTAGTGGCTAACTTACATCTACGAGATTCCGGTGGTTTAAATGTTTTTTATGTTACGTAAGGAATAAAACACTATGTGGGACATACAACAGCTTACATAGCGGCATTTATATCCGTTTCATTGAGTTTTATTTTTAAATTAACTGTGTAATATTATTTATTTTGGAATTAACATCCTCAACTTAATAAATTTTAGTAGTTATATCGTTCGTTAACGTTAATCTTACAAATTAGATATCTACTGTCGCGGCCTTTTTTGTAGCTTGTTTTTATTTAAATAAAACACTTTAACGGTTTAAAACGCGATATATTAGTTAAACTTATTTTTAAATCCCCGTGACCACGGCTGCTGCAAAGCTTCCGGAACGTCGGGCCGAAGTTAAAAATCATTTTGAAATAAATATAATTTAATTAATATATCGCGTTTTAAACCGTTAAAGTGTTTTATTTAAATGTGTACTACTCGCGTAAGCTATAGACAGTATTTATAAATTAACTTTCAAAGTCTTATTTAGTTATATTAAATATTCGTAAAAAGCCTTAACTTACGTATATACAGGTGTGTTGTGTCCTTGCTTATACCAAATAACCAGAGCCACGCTATCGTGCGCTAACGCAGGTGTGACGTCACAAGGCAACTCTGCCGCCCGCCCCAACGCTGCGTGGACAGACTCTATGGATGCTGTAAAGATACAAAGAATTAGAAAATCTATTTCTTAAATTCATATGTGAATGCAACGTTTTTATAGTCGAAATCAAAAATCATTTATTCACTTAGGTAACTAGGTACACTTATACACATCACGCCAGCTAAAAACTAAAGACTCTCAAATCAAGGGCGTAGAACGAGTAAGAAGAACTGGCAAGAAACTCGCCGTTACTCCTTTTATCGCTAAGTACACAAGCAGTAGTCGGTTTTAATTATTTAAAGAGGAGTCATTCTTTACTACATATTTTTTGGGTATCTTGGAGCGTTTTTGCAGCGTACGCCTCGGAAATCAATATTAATGAATTTCTCGCTGTATCTTCCCTTGTAATTAGTCACAGGGCGATGGTTTATAGCCTAGTCTTCCTCGATAAATGCTCTAACCAACATAAAAATAATTTTTCAATTCGAACACGTAGTTCCTGAGATTAGCGCGTTCAAACAAACGAACTCTTCAGCTTTATATATTAAGTATAGAAATAAAGTAAAAGTAATATTTATAGATTTAGTTGTATATAGAAAACTTTTAGAGAAAAGATATATAAATAATCATAATAATAATGAAATTGATTCAGATAAGCCCATAATTGGCTTTTAACAACACGTTCTTACAACTTTTCTTGACATGGTGGCAACTGAAACTATGAAATAGTATTATCCTATCTTTAAATCCAAAATGTTCAAACCTTGTGTTGTTGTGTACATTTATAATCATGTATGTTGTATGGAAACCAAAACAATTAAACGTAAAACAAATATTAATCGTGTTTAGGCTTCAGTCTGTGGATTTCCGAATAATCAACGCCAAAATAGGTCGACAGCGCACCCGTGAACCCCCATGTCTCTTTTTTATAAAAAAATAAATATTTTTGCGTCCTGCGCAACGCGAAAGAAATAGGTCCACTTTATGCCAATATTTTCCCTATCGTACGTTGAGATGTGACATAATTCATAGCTAAATTTCGGTCCACACAATTTCGTGGAATAAATAAGGCCCTTTCGTGGTCTATTAAAGACCCTAATATGAAAAGCTAAATCTCCGTGCGACGTATAAAAAGGCTCATATTTCACGACGCGCTGTCAAAGTCTTTTGTAAAAGTTTCGTGACCTCTCTTTAATAGATACCTCCGGCTTAATTAAGTCGTCTAAGGGATTCGGGATACTTTTATAACACTTAATGGAATGAGTTAGTGAAAAATTATAAATGAAATAACTGACAATTTCGTTATGACATCTTGATGATGACGTGATGATAGGTGAAATACAATTCTTAGCTTACCTTCCAAAGTATAGATAAAGCTTCACTAAATACTAATCTATACTAATATATAAAGCTGAAGAGTTTGTTTCAACGCGCTGATCTCATGAGCTACGAGTTCATTGAATTTGTGTTAGTTAGGGCATTTATCAAGGAAGGCTATAATAAAACATTGCGCTGTGACTAATAGAAGCGACGATACAACGGGAAATGTGAAGAAAACGGGGAAAATTTTTCATCTCTGCGGGTTTCTGATGCGTGCGCTGCGAAAACGGTTCAAGACATCCAAAAAAGAAATATAGAGGAATGATCCCTCTTTAAATAATCTGAAAAATAAGACACTATCGGCCTTATTACAAAAAAAAACTTAAACTAGGACTGTGGAGTCTTGGTTTCACTCTTAAGCCATATTCTAAGGTACCATACGTAAAGTACCATAGTTAGTCCAGTGCAAACGTTAAACATCAGTTTTAAAATGAGGCTTTCAAGTAAACCAGGGTTTAAACCAGTCTATCTCTTAGGATTAAATTGTAAGAACGACGGAACGCGACCGATGTCGTGGGCAGCTTGAATTTATAAAGATGGAGACGTTTGCAAAAACATTGGATGCCCAAAACATCTATTCTACGCGGACAAAGTCGCTGACAAAGCTAGCATAACATATACACCGATGGGGATCGAAGATAGGACGCGTTGATTATTATTAGCTATACATACATGTTTCCAGTTTTAAACCAATGGTAATTATTTAAAAACAGTACTTTGAGGAACGAAATTTAAATTTTCTCTGGTATTCGAACTCTTCGGATTCCCAACGACCGTGTTACAGCATGAGACAGATTACAAATGATTGCAACTCACCGGATTCCTCGATAATTACATCTTGCTGACTCTCAGCGCATCGCTGCAGGACTGCGAACATAACGCAGCACGCGATACGAAATTTTAACATCGTTCTACGTTATCACATTTTCACACGCTGTCACACAGAAGGTTACATTTTAGCACTTCTTTCAGGTCCACTAACTTTTGAGTTTGTGTTATCTGGAAAAGAAAGAATGGATTATTTTAAAACTGCCAGTTTTAGAGTACTTTTTCTACAACTACCCACCTAACGTGGTGGGAAAATATGAATATGATTAAACTATTTTTAATAGGTATCAATGAATAAAATGGATTATTTAAAATTGGGTCTGTCATAGACATATTTTACTGACGAGTTATTTATAGGCAAGTGGTGTAAGACCTCTATGTTCTGCCAAATCGAAATGTTTGTTTTCCCGGGTGATAAACTCTAGATCGACTGACCTCAAATCCTTATTTCTTCTTTATGTATATAGTATATGCGTCAGCGACTTCGTCCGCGTAGAATAGTTATTTTGGGCATCAAAATTTCATTTTTCAAATAGTGTCGCGAAAATCTTTTTAGATCATGTAAAGAGGAGTCATTCTTTCATACTTATTTTTTGGGTATCTTGAACTGATTTCGCAGCGTATGCATCGGAAGCCCACAGAGATTAATACTTTCCCCCGTTTTTTCCACATTTCCCCCTGTGTCTTTGGAGCGTGATGTTTTATAGCCTTCCTCGATAAATGTTATAACCAAAATAAAACTATTTTTTCAATTCGAACCAGAAGTACCTGAGATTAGCGCGCTCAAACAATCAAACAAACTCTTCTGCTTTATATTAGTAAAGAGTAAAGATAGTCAAAATATATGTAACCACCCTTCAAAGGACTAAGTTCCTACTAATATACAGTATGATATAAGCGTCTCATTTTTAAAACCCGTAGATGCGGAAAGAAACCGCAAACAAACATGTATCATGACATTACACAGATCAATATACCACATGGTATCGTTTTCCTGTGAAATGGATCAAGGCTTGCGTTTCTGCTTTGTATATTTTCGTTTAACCGACTGTGACGAAAGAGTTATGTGTTTAAAATGGTTGTGCTAGACAACACTATGAATTATGTGTTATCTATGGTGTACGCATATAGATTTAAATAAAACACTTTTAACGGTTTAAAACGCGAAATGAATAAAAAATTTAAATTAAAGCCAATTACATTGAAAAAAAAGTAATTAATTATTTTATTTTTCTTCGTTTTCAGCTATAGCTTCCTACATCTCTTATTTACAATATATCCGACAGAATTCGGAAAAAAATAAGTTATGTTCGTGTATTTAATGAAACAAAATTTAATAAAAGTTATAAACATCATAATATATTTATAATTTTACTGCAACATGTTGGACTTCGTCTGGCAATCTAAATATTAAATGAGAGGTAGGAACACCGAGAAGTCCGTCCGGCTCCACGAACTACCGCAGATGTTAAAATGTTTTATTTAAATGTGTACTACTCGCGTAAACTACAGACAGTATTGAACTTAAAAATCGAAAATAAATTGAAAAGGTTGCTGCAAAGCATAAGACATTGAACCTTAAAACGCAAATGTTAAGGTTGAAATTACATTGCGCGAGAGGTGCATGTATCAATAAGTTGAAAAAATTCGACGATGAGGTGTAGGACTCGGTAGCTCAATTGGTAGAGCAACAGCACGGAACGCTGACGATGCCGGTTCAAGTCCTGCCCGAGTCGAAAAATTTTTCAATTTATTTTCGATTTTTAAATTATATAGTGCCTTCATGCGCAATAACATGTAGAAAATATTAATGTTTTCAAACAGTATTTTACTTCTTTGATTTAAAAAATAATCGAAAAGTAAATATATGTCCTTAAAAATAAAATTGTTGAAGAGGAGTGCTAAGCTTCAGGGCGAAATAGTAATAGGTGAAAGTTTTCAAAAGTAACTGACCCCTTTCATGGACCGGCAGGCCGACCCTTCGGCCCAAGGTCGCAAGAACCGAATAATGACACTTATTCCCCACAATTATATTCATTAAAATCGTATTATCATTACAATACCACAATTGGGGACTTGGGCCCGGCCACGTCGGCCGTTCAATTATACTATTTACATAATAATAGAATTTCGGTTATACATGAATAGCGTCACGATATTGTTGACGTAGTTTTACTCGTTTCTATTCCGGAAGGAAACGGAAAGCTTTTGTAGCGCTCCCCCCTTCCCCCCGCAACCCATGGGGGCAAACACATTTCACTGATCATCGGTTTTCTTTACAGGCAAGTAGATAAAACGCGATTTTAAATTTTTTGAATTCGACTTGGGCAGCACTTGAACCGGCATTCACAGCGCTCCGTGCTGTTGCTCTAACCAATTGAGCTATCGTGTCAAGTGGTTAGAGCAACTATAACGGTTTAAAACGCGAATTCTTAGTTATCCTTTAAATAAGTTACCTTCAAGTGTCACGTATTAGGGAATTCTCAGTAACAACCAATTTTAATTGATTGTGAACACACCAGAAACCTTGGAAGGTAATGCACACCGCAAACCGCACGACCGTGTTGACATCCCAGCATAGGTAGAGTCTTAGTATAATAAAGCTAACGAAATAATGTACTGTTACTATTCAATTTGATTGTTTTTTTTTGTATGTGTTAATAAATTGACGGAATACGATGATGACGTATGGGACGTAATAGCTCAATTTGTAGAATCACGGAACTAGGGGTCGCAATTTGAGTCACACCAGTGTCCATTTCCATGTCTGTAGTATAAGGAGGTAATAAACAACTGTTTAATTATAACAACATATATATGCATATTATATAACGTTACGTCATTCTTATTGTAAACGAATACTTAAATCTAAGGTAATATAAAAGCTTAAATATTTTCACATGTTATTCCACATGCTAGCATTATCTACCTATATAAAAAATACGTTAATAAGCATTAGGGTTGAAATTACATTGCACGAGTGATGCATGTATCAATAGGTTGTATAAATTCGACGATGACGTTTTAGGACACGGTAGCTCGATTGGTTAGAGCTGCAGCGTAAGTAGTGTCGTAATTTTTTTTTTTGATTGTGATGACGTGCAACCCTCTCATAATAGAGTATAAATAACTTTCTTTTCAAACTAGTTACGTCATCGTTTTGTAATTTGAACTTTGATAAACGTTTATCTATGAACCGATAAATGTATACGTAAGTATTATTATAGTGGAGTTTTCAGAGTTTCCGTTTAAATTTTTAATGCTTAACTAGTAGACTTGTAAATAAATGATTACCATACTATTTTAGAAAGTAAATGGTTACGATTGAAGGGAGTGCGAAGCCCCGTTTTCCCATTGTGGGGCATGGAGCGAACACATGTACGTCCCATGTCAAGCCCACTTCAACTTTTGTGCCCAGCCCGACCGTAAGCGTTCACTAATCCTTTCTGTGGCACTCAAAACCTCTTGCATTTATCCAAAAACCATAGAACGTCTAACATTGTAAAATAATTTGAGTAGCGATCAAAAAATCCATCTTTCTTCGAGTTTATCTGAACAATAAATCCAAAACTTTTACAATGACATCTACGGAACCATTTATGATCGATGGAAATAGATCAATATATCAATCAATCCAAACCGTTTTACTGCGAAACACTTTTACGATCGGTTTAATGTCATACTGGTCAAAAATCTTGGGGAAATTTATGGGAAAGTTTGTATTTTTATTTCTTGTTTTACATCGTGAAAGGTTAGTATCAATTTAACGTGTTTTATTGGGTTATATCGCTTACTATGACGCATGCATAGATGGCGCCAGCGTAGCTGATTTGACATAACATTAGGGACACTCAGTCGTCCCGTGACCACGGAAATGTAAAGTATCCGAAACGGTGAGCCGAAGAAAGTTAACCACGTATTACCTGATATACCTATTTTGTTTCAAAATAGTGCTTAAAACTGGTAGGTAACTCTTAATAGAGTGTTTTCTTTTATTAGCGTTTTTTATTGCGTTTCCAAACCGTTAATCGTGTTTTATATCAATCTTTCATGCATCATACAAATGCGGCATTACAAACGCAGAGAATAGAATGTTTATAAAAAAACCTTAACACTTTAAAACGCAAAATATAAATTTATTTTCATCTACGATCCCTATCGATCCGCCTACCTTCACAGCCGACTTGAAATATCTGAAACGTCGCATCAAATAGGAATAAAGCATTAATTAACTATGTAATCGCATTTTTAAACCGTTATTCGTGTTTTATTTCACTCTTTCATGGTCATACAGACGTTGCGTTAAAAAAAATGGCATCAGTCTTGAAAGTTTAGCTTACTCCCAAAGACAGTTCAATGGAGAGTTATAAAATAACTTAAAAACCTCTTAAAGCTTAACGTAGCCTGAAGTGAACTTATAGTCTATTCTTCGATATCTTATTGTAAATACAGAAACACCTGCCGGCTTCCGCCCTTATCTTATTGGTAGAGGATCACTGATTACGGTTTTTTATCGCCCCAGTGTATTTTACAACCCGGCTTCTTAACTAGCTGGGCCCTTACGGACTTTTTGGTTTATTATTTAATTTTGTTCAATTTATAGGCATCTTCTTGTATGGACAATTCGTCTTGTACTATTAAAATCTCGGTAAGGGGTTGTGAAGAATATATGGCGGACTGCGGGATCGTGAGTTTGTTTTGTGGTCTGATTTTTCTAAACATGTCTACCTACTAGACCCATAGATACCTCTCTAACACAAGACCTACCTAGACCAAAAGTTTAGAAAATCTGGTTAATAAATGAGTGGCAATAATCGAAAGTACTTGAATAGAGTAAACACATTCGATGATGCCGTGTAAGTGTTATTTCAATTTTATAGAGCACGGAACGCTGTCGTTCGTGGGTTTGTGTCCCGTCCGTGTCATAAAAAAAAATTCCAATCTCCAAAAGTCTTTATATTTATTACAATAAGATGGCCGAGACTTTTTAATAATATTTGTGTCATTAATCGTCATTTTGACGTTTCGAATGCTTTGCAGCAGCCGTAGTCACGGGGAGACTGCAAAGCATCCGAAACG